AAGAAACGCAAGTACAGATCACAATGGGAGGACTACCCCAACAATGCCAAAATTACCCCAGCAAAACGAAAATTAAGTGTTTTTTTTTTTTATTGATTACCGTTTGTATAACCACAGTTGTACAAATACCATGGTTAAACTATGGTCAGTGTAGTAAATCCATGGTTAGTTTGTGGTTATCATGGTTTAACTATAGTAACCATTTTTTGTTTTTATTTATTTTTTACATAATAAACGTATTAATTAATAAATTTTAATAGTAAAAACATATGGTTAATTTTTGTAAGGGAAGTTTGTAAAGTAAGTTAGTCGGCTTACATGCTTTCACAGTTACAGTAATTGTGTATTTCGTCAGCTTATTTAGGCTAATAATAAAAAATAAAAAAAGAAGCAAAGGAATCGTGTGATCAGGATGTTAAAATAAACAGTCTCACCTTTCAGAGCAAACATTGATAAATATGTCCCAGCCATGTTCGTCACTTTGTGGTTCCTTTAAACATTTCCGATGTGGTCTGTGCCTATTTGCAGCGCGTTCTTTATTTGTTTGTGTTGTGAGCATTTGCAGCGCGTTTCTTTATTTGGTTGTGTTGTGAGCATTTGCAGCACGTTTTATTTGGTTGTGTTGTGAGCATTTGCAGCGCGTTTCTTTAAGTGAAAGTTTAAGTGAAAGTGAAAGTGACGTGACATGTGGCCAAGTATGGTGACCCATACTCAGAATTAGTGCTCTGCATTTACCCATCCAAAGTGCACACACACAGCAGTGAACACACACAAACCGTGAACACACACCCGGAGCAGTGGGCAGCCATTTATGCTGCGGCGCCCGATTATTTGGTTGCGTTGGGAGCATTTGCAGCGCGTTTCTTTATTTGGTTGCGTTGGGAGCATTTGCAGCGCGTTTCTTTATTTGGTTGTGTTGGGAGCATTTGCAGCGCGTGTGTTGTCAAATTGATTAAGATGTTTTCTTCATTTGCAGCACGTTGAGCTCTCTCGGCCACTGTAATATTGATATGAAAATGCGAAGATAATAAAAATATATTCCATTTGTTATTTATTAACAACATTAAAACATTATGTCAAGGTTTCTTAAACTGGGGTTCATGAAGCCTTTTAATGTGTTTGAAAGACAAAAGCCTTCCAAAGACAAAGAAAGTAACTGCAGTCTGATTAGAAGTATTTTAAAATGTAATATAAATCTAATTACAAGTACTTTGGAATCTTATTACATAATTCAGATTACATGTGATCAGTTACTAATCCAGCACTGGCAATGGTCTCCGTGATCTACTTATGTCACAAAGCTTTTGGAAAGCGCAGCCCAGTTTATTAGTTGTAGTCTAGTATCTGACGAGGAAAACGATTGCTTTCTGTACAGTTTTGGCTACAAGTGAAATGCGAGGTCAAACTTGCCCTTGAGTAATTTAACCGTTTAACTGCTCTGGTTACAGTTCTCAATGCGGATGACTTCCATGCGAAGCAGCACCATGGAGCTGGAGAGCGCTCCTCCGGATAAGATCCATGTGGAATGCGAGTCTGCCAGCATCATCCAGTTGGAGAACTTCTGCTATGTGGCGTCATCAAGCCCCTCGGCTAGGGGTTCAGGACTGGACAGTGACTTTGGAGCCAGTGCAGGTTAGTTTCATGATCTCATTCATTGAATTGAGTAGACTTCAAATGCTACATATACACTACAAATAGAAAACTTCTGACTGGTAGTGTATATTTGGAGTCTGTCCATTCTTTGAATTCTCCTAACTGTTCATTTAGGTGTATCTCTGCGTATCCTTTCTATGGACAGTGATGGTTTCCCGGGCTCTGCCTGGGCGTCCGTTCTGGAATGGGATTACTACGACCCAAGTTACGTCACTCAGAACCACGTCCCAAAGCACAGACCTCACGCACCCCCCATCACTACCAAACAGTACTGGGTCTAGAGCCCGAGCTGCATAGGGAGAGCCTGATGAACACCAGAACAAGACTCGATTCAGCCATTCTCATTCTAGAACTTCAGTTGAGCCGAGTCTAGATTTCTGTCTGGGTTTAGTGCACTTAATGTTCACATGCGGTTTTAACTGCAACACATCACTTGTTGTCAAATCACACACACAAACACACACACACACACGATTAAAAGTCTTCACGATCACAGGTTTGTTCTGTTTACAAAAATGCGTTTATATAATCACTCCACTATTGCTTTCACTTTAGATCACTTTGATTGACACGGCCTTTGTTTTACACGTAGAGTTTCTCACTGCATTGTAATTTTTATGTTTGCACATGATTCTCAGCATGGAGTTACTGAGGTCTACAGAAGCGGCTGTTTGAGTACTTCACAATTTCGACATGCTACACATTCTTGTATTTGTAAAGAAAAAAGTATTTAGATTGTGCCTGAATTGGATAAAGTTTTAAAATACAGGGTGTCATTTAATTGCTGTGGACATCTAATGCAATTATAAAAAAAATAAAACTGTTTCAAAATAATCGTATTCCTTAAGATCACTGTTTTCATATATGCATTAGGGGTTTTTATAGCAGAATAGCTGATCTTGAGATTTAAGTCTCAACTCTATAAAACCATGCAAGCTGATAAAGACCAACTAGTTTCACCATGTTACTCTTTATATAAAACCCTTTTCAATCAAGTGTTTAGTTTGCATCGATATTAAAAGGTAACTTGTTTTTAAATGGTTTAAGTTCTGAGTGTTTGAGAGACAAAAAAATTAATTCAGACGGACATTTCAAATACCACTTTTTATTGGAAACAGATTACGAGGAGCTGGACGCAGCCACTGCTGCCCGACGGGGCTTGGGCACGGTTCCCTCACGGAACCCATTTCTGAAATACACAAAAAACATACTTCAGTCAACAACACCACAGGACGTCACAGATAGCGCTAAAGATAATTCACAAGCCCATACCATGACAGCATGGGTCTCAAATCTATCGATCAAGTCCCTCTTAACAGTTTCAAAACCCAACTGGTTTGCACAAAAACTGAACAGAAAACGGACCCTAAAAGACACCCATCTAAATGTACAGGTCAGGCTTACCTCAGTACAAAATCATTATCACTGGACAGTCATTTGTTCAGACATGTATTTTTGGACATCATTGGTAAGCCACTGTACAAATGCTAAATTTAACCAGAGTACAGCCACTCAGGTTTTAGGCAAACATCAAATCTCAGGATCAACAGGGACGTTTCTATCATTGTCAGTCAAATGTTTCGGCATCAAACCCAAACCCTGTACCCTGCTTTGAACTTTCACTGTATTAATGCATGATAATATGCAAAGGAAAAAATTAAAATGATAAATTACGAGGCGGGAATCAGAAAAAAAGACAAAAAAAAAAAAAAAAGATGCCAGGCAAAACACAGTTCGAAAATGCTTCAAGAAAACATTAAACCAAAAGATTAAAGTATGAAAAAGAAAAACAACCTTAAAAGCATGAAAATTCACTACATTTACTCACCTGAACCTGCGGAACACAACCTTCAGGTGTCTCATGCGGCCAGTTCCTGTGGTGCTGCGCCTCTTGGCCTTAACGCTCCAGTTGTCTACAAACACATACAATTATATTTCAAATGCATGAAAATAAAATGCATCCCTCCAGCAGTCCATAAACATCTCCGGCTTACCTCAGTTCAAACCTGTTATCACTGGACAGTCATTTGTTCAGACATTTATTTTTGGACATCACTGGTAAGCTTTGATGTGCCATTGCGACTGGTCAAGGAGTCCATAATCCACAATAAAGCTCCAAATGAAAATGTTTTGAACCGTTTTCGCTTACAAGCGGCGCTTGATCTGTGCATATTTCTCTCCCGATTCAGAAGAGACGACTTTTCACTGGAGAAAGCAATATTATGGATAGAGGACTTGAAGTCTTAATGATTGATTTGTTTCTTACAAACGCACAGCTTTTCACGTCACAAGATGTTAACTGATGGACTGGACTGGTTTGGATTACTGTGATGTTTTTATCAGCTGTTTGGACTCTCATTCTGACGGCACCCATTCACTGCAGAGCATCCATTGGTGAGCAAGTGATGCAATGCTACATGTCTCCAAATCTGATCCCATGAATGAACAAACTCATCTACATCTTGAATGGCCTGAGGGTTTTTCAGTATTTTTCCATTTCTGGGTGAGCCAATTCTTTCATATTACCTACGCTCCCGCTTGTAGCATGCCAATAAAGCTACTTGAAACAAAATCAATGCAGAACAACCAAATATTGAACTGTGATAGTTCACAGACAAATCAAGACACTTACACTTTCTCTTGCGCTTGGCAGGGTAGCCACACTTTCCACAGGTGGACTTCTGCAGGTGATACGCCTTGGATCCACAGCGGCGGCACAGAGTGTGCGTCTTATTATGACGCTTACCGAAAGATGACGTACCCTTCGTCTGAAAAACACAAGAAATTAATCAATTCACATTACTGCTTGTATCTTAAATGCTCCTTTTCATATGACAGCTGTCTCAAAACATAGCAAGCTGCCTACCTAGATAGCATTCATTCATGTGCAGCTTGCTTGGTTCAGACACTATTATGCCTACAAATAATGTTTATGTAGGCAGCTCACTATGACTGCTGACTACATTCTGAGATGACCCTCAATATGCTGTCTAACTAGGTAGCTAGCTAGATTAGATGAAGGTAAATGAGTTTTGACTATGATGCTCAATAAGTATGTTTAGACACAATAATGATAAGAGGTAGATAAAACTAAAGACCATGACTTCCAAACAACCCTGTTTAGGAAGGAAAGCTAAATTGGCAGTGAGATTATAATGCACAAAAATACTGTCTAGAAAGACAACTTAATAGACTCAGACCCACAGCCCAGCATGTTTGCAGAAAGGTTAACCACCTAAACTGGTCTGACAGTTTCATTTACACATTTAAACAGTCTCAGACATATTGACATCCAAACCTACGTATTTAAGATTAATCTAAATGAACACTGGAGATAGTTTAGAGCTATCCGGTAGAATTCTCGAGCTCGCTAGAACTGCATGAAAGGCTAAGCGACATGCTAACCGATAAAAATATCATCTATAACCTCTCACTATCGAGGAATCACAGACATAATGGATGATATTGAGCCTTAAATATATATGCTTGTGATATTTTCAATGGTACAGTGCTTAAAAACAAGCCATGAATCAGATGTTAGAGGATTTTGACAGCAAGGCGCTGCGAAACTCACCATCTTTCCTCAGAGCTGATTCGAAAGAGACCGGAAGAGACGCTGGTGTACCATTAACACACCACCGGCGCGCTTTCGGTGCAACACCTAAATACGTCCCCCTACTGTTACACTGCGGACTTCTTCAGTCACAACGACAACAAATGAACATACACCAATTATTTGAATTGTAAAAAAGATAAAACGTATTTTTAATCTAAAAAATCCCTGTTCTGGTCACAGAAAGTTTAAATTAATTACAGAAATGGCATGTAGATATGTGATAACAAGATTTATATATATTTACACAGTGAAAACATACACATTTCTTCTTAAGGAAATGTGTTTTTACATAGGCTATCCTAAACAACTGTATGTTAGTTTAACTGAACATTGTATTTGTAGAGGTTAGGTTTAGAGGGAGGATTTAGTGTAGTAGGCTTATTAGCCTTAGCCTATATAAAAACAGAAATCAGTGGAAAGTCCAGTAATATTTGATTGTATGTGTGTGTGTGTGTGTGTGTGTGTGTGTGTGTGTGTGTGTTTATTTTTGTGGGAACAAAGCCAGCAAGTTTGATTGATTTGTCTTTTCCAAACGGTCTTTGCTAGGGCTCACAGCCACCGACGGCAACCATAAACATAAATTACAGAGTTGCCAAAAACGTCTGGACTCAAGTCGTCCCTGAGACAAAAAATAAATACATTTGAAATGACCTTCATTAGGCTGCCACAAGCCTCTGATATCACTGAATGGCAAAGCAATTCTTTCCCATGCATTTCAAGTCTTTGACCCTTGTTATAGCTATAATATGATGCCATTCCCTTAAATTTGATGTGAAAGATCAAAGCATTAATTTAAAAGGGGGATGAGTTACAGCATAACAGGGTTGAAAACATAATATGTTTACAGCGTATTATTTACTAAAGCAAGACAATATTATTATATTATAACGTGCAAAACATTTGAACAGAAAAAGAATGCTACAGTATAACAATCAAAAATGCACAGTAAAAACGTTCTAAAACCTTCTAGGGTTTTCTATACTATATTACTATATTGTGAAAAAGTATATAGTATTAGATGTGCCATTTTATTGGAAAAAAACATTGTAAAATGATGGGTTTTGGAAGTTAAAAATATGGATGAATAAAATAAAATTAATGAAATGAATGGTGAGCCTACTTTACAATTAATGTAAAGTTTTTTATTATATTTTATTCAAATAGTTCCTCTTAATAACAAAAACAACAACAATAAAATAATAATAATAATAGTTATTATTATTATCATTATGGGAAATTTTGACATTTTATTTGTGACCCTGGATCACAAAATCAGTCTTAAGTCGCTGGGGTATATTTGTAGCAATAGCCAAAAATACATTGTATGGGTCAAAATTATTGATTTTTCTTTTATGCCAAAAATCATTAGAACATTAAGTAAAGATCATGTTCCATGAAGATATTTTGTAAATTTCCTACTGTAAATATATCAAAACTTAATTTTTGATTAGTAATATGCATTGCTAAGAACTTCATTTGGACAACTTTAAATGCCATTTTCTTAATATTTACATTTTTTTGCACCCTCAGATTCCAGATTTTCAAATAGTTGTATCTCGGCCAAATATTGTCCTATCCTAACTAACCTTACATCAATGGAAAGCTTATTTATTCAGCTTTCAGATGATGTATAAACCTCAATTTCGAAAAATTGACCCTTATGACTGCTTTTGTGGTCCAGGGTCACATTTATTATTTAACACTTTACAATAAGGACATATTATTTAATATTAGTTAACATGAAGTAACAATGAAAAATACTTCTAAAGCATTTATTAATATAGTTCATTTCAACATTTATTAACATTATTAAAATCGAAAACATTAGCCTATTTAATTGATGTCAGTTAACATTAATAATGAACAGTTAATGATCGTTAACAAAGATGAATAAATAGCCTATACTGTAACATACGTATTGCTCATTGATGGATAATTTTAGTTAATACAGTACCTTATTGTAAAGTGTTACCCGTTAATATTATTTTATTTAGCCTAGTTAATGTTTACAGCATTATTTTAATATCAAGTTTTCATAAAGGCGTTTTAGCTATGTCTAATATCACTGCAAAGCCCCAATTCGTCCTCGTGTAATTGCAGTCATTTACGCCGCATCACGTTTCCACTGGTTTCATGAAGGGTTTGACAGCAGATCTGCAGTGCCTCGCTGCCTCATTGGTGCTGATGAGAGGGAGTGGAGTGCGTCACCGCATTCTGCAGGAGCGTCGCGTGATGCAGGTTATGCGAGATTTACTACACGTCCACATATAGACGATAGACCTCAATGGGCAGCTGTAGCTTCGCTATATCTGACAGGTTGCTCAAAAGCGATACTGAGGAGAAAAGCAGCTGCTATGGAGCCTGAGCGCGCATCGGTGAAGACGGTAAACACGCGCGGGTGTGACTCAATGTGTCTTCTGTAGGGCAAACGCGACCGTGGGGTTTCTCTTCTGAAGGATGGGCTACTCAGATCCGACAGCTAGTAGAGATCTGTTGGGAAACAGATCCCTGTGTTTTATTTTCATATGTGCTTTTGGACTGGTCACCTTATTTCAGCAAATCCTCTATGGCAAGAACTATATTAAAAGGTAAGGTGATTATTTTATTAAATGGTGCATAATGAAAAAAAAATCCATATTCTATGAGGGTATGTGGACAATAAAGCAAAATAGCCTTCAGTAATTAATCTTAGTGATATTGCACCCATATTGCTCCAAAATCTCTTTTAAACTTGAGCTCCATTAAATCATGCCATACACAGTCCCCTGAATGACTGTCTATGCAGCAAGATGCTTAAGTCTGTTTTTCTTCTCTGTTTATTTTTCACGTCTTGGTTTGTTTTTCTACCTTCTGCCCTTTAAACAGCTCATACATCTTGCGTAAACCTGTGTGACAGCAAAAAGCCATATATTGCAGAACCTTATTATAAGCAATTGCGTCGCTTTGAAGATAAACTGGAAGACTGTGATGTAGCCTCTGTTTTTTTTTTTGGCATGAGCACATAGCCTAGATTCAAGCACTAGAAATGCATTATGCATTTTTTATATCATGGTGGTGTTTCATAAGACCCAGATTTCATGCCTTTTTTGGGGCCACTTGCATCAAAATGACATCATACCTACCGAGAATAAGTCCCGGAAGGTGAATCATTTTAGTTTGTTTTTTTCCGGGAACGGAGGTAAGCAGAGTGAGATGGCTCAGCATTGCGAGGGTGTTTGAGAGTGCGTGTGTGTGTTTGTCTATGTAAAATGGCGTCTCTCGTAAGGAGCGCCCCCGCAGTGCATTATGGTTCCTGCGTCCCAGCAGATGCCCATATGCTGAATTAGAGCATAGAGCATTCTCACACTCCCACCTGAACCCCCCTCTTGCGTCTCACACACACTCAGGATTCATGACATCAGAGGCTGACGGCTGCGGATTGCATGAATGCTGTTCTGTACCCCGTATCTATTCTGCTGAAGTGGAGAGAAACAAGTGTAGGGGTGGGTGAGTGCTTTTGGCTTTAACTGCAGCTTCAAACCCAGCAATGAGAGTAAACGGAGACCAAATGGAGACTTTTGAGTCTTCTGCTTCTCAGATTTTCTTCTGTCAAAAAACCCTACATCTCATGTATTAGTGTTTCAGAACAGTGAATGAAAAACTAAGATCAGATTTTCTAAGAAACCATTATGAAAATGAACTCAAATCCAATCAAATTAACTCAAAACCAAGCAACAGTCTCAATATGAAACATTTATCTCCCAAGACCAAGTTATCTGGGTTATGCCATATATATTTTGTTTGCCAAAGCAAATGCTATTTACTATTGATACATGGCCAAATGGTAGTGGCTATATTTCTGGTTAAGGATTTGAACAAATCTCAAACCTTGGCAAATAATAAAAACGCTCCCAAATCCCACTAACTTGGAGAGGGTGTCAACTTTGAACTTGTAAGCCATATCAAGGGGTATTGTAGTTGAAAATATATAGTGAAAATATTCAAAACACCTTAGCAGCTGCATAGAAATGCCTTGAAAATCAACCCTACTGAAGATAAAACAATAGCAACCCTCATAGAATTTGTAATGGTTATAATGTCTATAATGGGAATTGTATTGGTTTGAATGGAAACGGTAATGGTCCCTGTGGGTTTCTACTGGTAATTGTTTGCCTATTGGTGGCATGTTAAAACCACTAAATTCTAATGGGATGGCTACAACAAACTACAGATAATGGTTAGAAGTTAGTGGTTAGTAATGTTTTTAATGGTATTTTTTGTGGAAACCATTAGGACTTCTTCAGCAGGGAACCACAACATCCAGTGAATCTTGCCACCATGCTTTACATATTCAGATCAAAACTGTATTTACTTTACAACAGGGCTAGTCAACTAGCTTCATTTGAGGGCTGGATTATCGAACTGAAAATTTGAAGGGGGCCAAGAGGGTGAGGGCCGTCCCGATCTCTTTCTGGGGGGCCTATAAAATTAGAAATTCAATTGAAATGCATATTCAGCAGTAAAATGAACTAATATTACCAACACCAAGATCTATAAAAGATTGCTGTCTGACAATCAATTCAAAAATAATTAATTAATCACACATTTTTCTATAATTAATCATGATTAATCACATATTTATATTGTCATAATTTCACATTGAAACTCCAAATGAATGTAGACAAATGTAGAAAACGTAATGACAAATGTGTGCATTAATAATGCATCCACAGAACTGAATAAAACGTCCTCTTAAATGCTCCTGCCAGGTGAAATTACAACTTAGAATTATTAAAAACACTTTATGCTGGAATTGGCCTTCTAATGTCATTGCAATAAGTCTTAAAGCTGTAAGGTTGGCGCGGAGTTACAACTAAAAATAAAATTGCACCGAACTGGCCAGGACAAGAGGTGATTGCTGCATATAGACGTTTGTGCATATGAATCAAACACAACAAGGTTATATTATTACATTTTCCTCCTAGCTCCGATTACACTGGTGCTAGATTGAGGACCAGCTTCTGCAGTCTTGTGCCAGGCTTGAAATTTCCTCTTTGTCCTGGAGATATTGATTGGCTAAGTGGCTGTGCCATGCAGAAAAAGTATTGACATTTAGCTACTTCTTCAGCTGTGACCTCTTCATTATCTACTGGACTGCAGAAACGCATCTGTCCTTCATATGCACCTTCTCTCTCCTCTTCCCATTGGCAGCTGAGTTTGCGTTTCTCGTTGAAGTGCTGATGTCCACATTAAATTGATGCTTTTAAAGACATGTAGAAAATGGCTGCGCATGTACTACAGGGACTAGAACTGGTTTAGGAGAGCAGATTTAAAAAAAAGACCACATGAAATCAAAGTTTTCTGAGGTTTAGTCCATGTCTTGAAACTATTTTGCATGCTTTTTTCCAATAAAATTCTGAAACTAACTGACATCGGTTTAGTAAAATTAGTAAATGTTGTAATACATACACTGATGCAAGTTTTTTTTAAAGGGGTCCTATCATGCTTTTTCACTTTTTCAACTTTAGTCAGTCTGTAATGTTGCTGTTTGAGCATAAAAAAGATCTGCAAAGTTACAAAGCTCAAAGTCCACTTCAAATATTTTATTTAACAGAAATCACTTTTCAAAAACTACAACGAACGACTCGTTTGGACTAAAACGCATACTTTCCGGGATTTGTGATATCACAGATATCGGCGAATGGGACGAGACCTGGTTGAGCTGCACTAGAGAAGGCAACGAGTGTTATCACTATGTCGGAGACATGCTAGCTTTCACAAAGCAGACGAACTTAGAGTGGTTACAATCATCCGGGTTTAAAGTGCACTCAAATTGATTTGATTTTGACGCAATATTTACACTGAAGCTCGCAGGTGGCTATGGTAAGGGGCGTGACATTTCCTGACCAGGCGCCGAGTGCTGCCAATCACAGCACACACTGACCCAGCTAACCAATCACAACCCACACTGGCCCAGCTAACCAATCACAACACACACTGGCCAGCTAACCAATCACAGCAAACACTGGCCCAGCTAACCAATCACAACACACACTGGCCAGCTAACCAATCACAGCAAACACTGGCCCAGCTAACCAATCACAACACACACTGGCCAGCTAACCAATCACAGCAAACACTGGCCCAGCTAACCAATCACAACACACACTGGCCAGCTAACCAATCACAGCAAACACTGGCCCAGCTAACCAATCACAACACACACTGGCCAGCTAACCAATCACAGCAAACACTGGCCCAGCTAACCAATCACAACACACACTGGCCAGCTAACCAATCACAGCAAACACTGGCCCAGCTAACCAATCACAGCACACACTGGCCCAGCTAACCAATCACAGCACACACTGGCCCAGCTAACCAATCACAGCACACACTGGAGCATAATAGGACCCCTTTAATCCTAGTTACATATTCACTTTTTATTATGATTTTACAATATGTTTTAAGACGTCTTATCTCCCAAAATGCCTGTAAATAGTCAGGATTATTGCAATCCCCTTTTTTTTTATATTTTGCCAGTGTTTTAATCCATAAAGCACTGAAGACAAAATAAGCACCAGTGAGATTACTATCCAGAAATATGCAAAATAAGACCATGTTCAACATCTGTACTCAGTTTTAAATATTATATAGACTAGTGTTCAAACGTTTGAGGCCAGTAAAATACATTTATTCTGCAAGGATGGATTAAATTGATCAAAATTGACAGTAAAATCATTTATAATGTTATAAAAGCTTTTTGTCAATGTTTTGTCAATGTTTTCAACATTGATAATAATCAGAAATGCTTCTTGAGCAGCAAATCAGAATGATTTCTGAAGGATCATGTGACACTGAAGACTGGAGTAATGATGCTGAAAATTCAGCTTTGCATCACAGGAATAAATGACATTTTACAATGTAATCAAAAAGAAACCAGATATTTTAAATTCTAATAATATTTCACAAATGTGTATTTTTGAGCGAATAAATGCATCCTTGGTCAGCAGAAGAGAAAATCTTAAAAATGTTAATGGTAGTGTTGTAGTCATCACTTTCGAAATTCTCGAAATTATTCATTGTTTTTCAAAATTTATTTTGACATTTTTACAGAGGAAAGATCTAAAATGGGTACATTATGTGTATCAACACTCGTTTTTTCAAAGGTTTGTTACACTTCCAAATGTATGAGTGTCTTTGCATTAGATAACAAAATGACAAACCAAGTGACCTTCAATTTAGGGAAA